AGTGGTAACTGCCTGAAATTTCATACTTGGGATGTTTGAAAGTTAAGTGAAGGTGAACATAATTAAACATAACTTATTCAAATAAGGACACGACCACATTTGCATAATTCATGAGGAAATGCTATAATGGCATTCTTTGTTAAGATAAGACTGTCTTTTGGTGTAGAATATGATCAACAGACTGATATAATTCATGCAATCGAGGATCCTATCTGCATAATCAGGGTGATTAGTATATTTCTTATTTATAAAGGCTAACATCATTTGGCGAAGGTATGAGATCGTGGAACTCTAGTTGTACCATATTGTTACAGTTACTGTAACATGTTTACAGTTTCTGTAAAAACAGGTTATCTTACCCCATTTATTTTCCACAACAAGGCAGGGTTCCAAACATTCTCACCAATGTATTTTGTAGATCTTCCCCTCTAATTCATTAATACCTTGACTACTTGGCAATGCAGTCTGCCCTATAACATTACACTACTGCCTCTCTGGAGTTGGATCTACTGATATTCTATCTGCACGGTAACTAGAGACGCTTTCTGCAGGGGTAACTCTCAATGGCTTACTTATGCAAATTTGCTCTTGGTGTTTTCAACAGTAACCAATCACAGTATGTGGTAGCCGTGATTGGTCAGGCCCTTATCAGTGACGAGGCTGATTTGCATCAGAATGGGGGTCATTCAAATTGACCAGATGTTGAACAAGGGAAGGGAGCGTTGCACAAATCATGCCGCCGTGTTTGCAAACTTTAGACGGGCAGTTTGAAATCCTGCCCGGAGTGGCAGTTGAAATTTGAATTTGCTAGAGTGGAGTACAGCAATTGCAAGTCAAGTGTGGGGCATTATTATGTGTTGTTCCTGTCAGAGGCTGTAACAAGGGTTGGTGTATTTGGTGAGTAGATCAAGCCAGCAGAACCTGCTATTTAAGCCGGTACTCAGTAATATTTACAGTGTTTTATTTCCTAACTTCTAAACTTTAAATCAAACAGAAGGTTTATTTTTGATTGCCATTTATACAGCTATTTTCAGGTGAAAATGGACCATTGATACCTGCTTCCATCGGTTTTAATTACAAATGTTGTTAAGTGGCGGTTAGCAATGTTTACTCTCCTGGCCGTACGGGGGGAAGTCTGTGATAATCACCTGTTTTCTGTGTCCTTTTACGCGGAGTGAACTGATTTTCTACCACAGTGAGTTTGAAAGGAAAGGCCTCTGCCCTCGGGGTGGCATGGGTGCAGGTGCTTCACCTAACTACTGTAATTCACTTTATGTTCATGGTAGCAAAAGTTCATGGTCTGAGAAAAATGGACATGTTCACAGAACTACATGTATATATTCACTGTAGTGACAGGTGCAGGAAAAAGAAATTCCTGAAATTATTTGTTAACTGTAATGATAAGTTCACAGTACAGAAGTGACAGTAAAACAGTGAATATAACAGTACAGTGAAAAAAATCAGGAATTACAGTATTCTTTAAGAACTAGTCACCACAATTCAACTTTTCTTCAAACTGTCAACTTCAACATAAGACATTAATTTCTTGAACAGAGGCCAGCAAGCTTTTGTACACTGTTTTCAAATTGCAGGTAAAATTTTGGCAACATGCAATTTTGTATATTGGGTTTAGGTCGGGTCCTGAACCAAATCTTTGAATCCGGACCTGGACTTGAGTTTAGGCACTACCCCTAGGCAAGGGACATAAATTTTTCGAGCTGATCAACCTTTTGCTAGCTCCACAAAAAGATCTGAGACCTGAGTGATGAAGCAGTGTACAATCAGTTTTCCAATATGCTGTATTTATATAAACACACCAATCATCAAAGTCTAAAAAGAAAAATTACTACCTAATTTTTTCAGGACTGAAACAGGAAACACAACATTCTTTTTCTTGGCCTAAAATCAAAAAGTTAATGCAAACTTTTTTGACAGTAAAAGTTGACAACGTTACATGTCTATGACTATCCTGCCTAGAGAAGTCCTGATTGCTATTTGTTTGTAACAGTTATAATTAATGGATGACATGTGAACTGCCTTACTAAGTTACTAGTAGTTAGCTATAATATGACATTCTATTTAGAACAATGAACTTAGACAAACTGTGTAAAGTTTGTTTCCTTTTGGACTTCCAAAAAAATTGTCTTCACTTATTTGCATATTGATCAATAGTTCTTGCTTATAAACCTGCCATTCTCCTGCAGTCTCTTAGTGTCACTGACAAAAGGTGGTGGATGCTACCTGAAATGTCTGACCGTTTCCAAAATCATATCCAGTTGCTTGAGTAACTGTTTATTGGCGTATCTTATTACCTAGACGTCTAACCTTCACCGACATATTATAATTTTGCCCATAGATTTGTCAAATTGCACCTAAATTTTTTGCCCTGATGACTCATCTCCAGTTGCTGAAAAAAGAGAAGAAATTTTCAAGACTTAGAATAGACAGAAATGCCATAATTATAGTAGAATCCGTAGACTTTTACCGTTTACGTAAGTTAGGCCCCATTCATGATTCAAAATGTGTTTTGGTATGGTCACGATCCGAATTGATATTATGGAATATATTTTGCGTCCGTGATTCAAAACAATGAATGAATTTCTTTGAACATTTCCTTGGAACCCGGCTCGTAAGTTTGCACCTGTTTGGGCGAGTGGTCGCTCGTTCCCGACTCATGTCCTCCCCATAGGCTGTGGCCCAGACTCATCTAACACAAGCCCCCACGGTCCGCCGCCCCAATGCCCCCGTTGGGCTACCACTCGCCCTCACGCCCAGGGTGGGCTTCCATGTACACCATCCAGTTTCCTCTGGATCTCCTGATTTCCCCAAGTCAATATCTAGACTCCCGTATTGACCAATAAGTAGAACTCGATATCAAGATTGTACGATTCAAGTAGAATTTTCCACGGTACAAAATGCCACGCTGCAAACTATGGCCGACCCCACGTACCCGGTTGTACGGCATCAACCCGGAACAATTCGTGTGATCACAATTTGACGAACGCGAAACATAATATATCGCTTCAGACCACCTCGCAAGGTGGTTCAAAATAAATTGCAACAGAACTGGAACGGAGTGTTCATGTTCCCAAATAATTCAATTTATTTTTTTAATTCAAATCAATTCGCAACAGATTTTGAATCATGAACAGGTTCTTTTCCTTTTATCAATTTTATAAATGGTGTAACATCATACTCATATGTACATGTATGTATTTAGCCCCATGGACATGAACATGCGATAAAGATTCTTTATAACTCCAAACAAGGGACAGTCCACTGATATATGTTCTATTTGTAGGTGGATTTGTTTGAGGAGGAAGGTGAGGTCATAGACAACATTTTGAAGAAGAGTCGACCTGTCCCACCACCGCCTCCTCTCAGGGTCAAGACACTTTATTTTCAATATATCCTGTAGCCTGGGAAGCTGAACTACATCATGTATCTTTAGAGATTTTATGTTCCCAAAACTAACAATAAAATCATCAATCTGAAACTCAAAAGTACAGTACAACATGTGTCAGATTATCAAGTTGCAGATAAGCCTTAGTCACAACCCGCCGTAGGTGCTTTTTGTCCGTATGTTTTTTGGGAGGCTACGTCTGCTACGTTTTTTCTGAAAACGTGGGGAAGGAGTGGCATCAACGCACGTCACTCGCACGGTTGCGCAAGGTGTAAGAGTGTGGTCTGCACGCCACGTCTGGCCACGAGTGGTTGCATGCATCGTGCGTTGCGCAAGTGGTAAGTGAGTTGTACGCGCTTACAACGTACGATCTCTGTGCTATTGCAACTTTACCGTAAGGAGGTTGTACTCACACGTGCGTCTTATGTACGGTACGTATGGGGCATGAGCGTCGCCCGTACTCGCACGTACGGGTGGTGAATCCACAGACTGCACGCAGAAAAAGTTTTACATGCACTTAAAAGTTCTACGGCGTGTCTGCGTGCTCCCAAATCCGTAGGATTCCGTACGGAGGCGGTACTCACCACGCACGGATGCCCTGCGTTTGCCCACGTTTTTGCACTTAGACAGCACGCAGAAGCACGTACGGCGGGTTGTGACCGAAGCTATAACGATGTTACCGAGGTTTTAATTGGTGGTGGCTTTTACTGAAAAATCATCAGTAGTCAGTCTAGCCTGTTAGAGTGGACTAATGCTACATTAATGTACATTTTGTATAATCACAGGTGATTGGCCATCACCTTCTTGTGGAGGGCACAAATAAGCCAATAAAACATGCTGTAGCTGCTCTGTCTATGTACTGGTCATGTATTTTAGATGGATTCGCTCATCAAAAAATCATATAGTGTGTGGCAGGATGATCAGAATGATACTAAATGTACAGGTATGAAATTTTTATAGTCATGTTGTATTCAATTGTGCATGTGGGACTTAGGACTATGCTTTTCAAATGCTTACTAATACTATCCACATCAGGTAGGTCTTTTAGGTCAACAGATAATCAACTTGTTGGTAAAAATGTCAATTCTCATACTTCTGCCAAGTGCCCTGAGACTGACACACACAAACATGCTGAATTTGAAGATATTTAAGGCCTAGTTGCCTCTTCTGTTTATTAGACTAAGTCCTGAAAGAATAAGGGTCAATTGTAGGTAGGGATTATCTGTTTTTTTATCCAACTTATACAATACAGTTAAACAAATTAAAACTTGAGAACACATTTTCAAGGTCAATGTTGGAAAACAAAGTTTCATCGCTCGGGTGTCAGGTCATGGAGCTAAAAAAGTCACTCAGCTTGACTTGCAGGGGTCCAGAAAAAAGTCTAGGGTCGGCAGCTTTTTCTAGGATCGGTTGAGAAACAGATTACATTTTTTTCCTAGGCCTTACTAATGCACGATAAGAGCATTTTTGAATGTGGCAGTATTGCAGTGGGATTATGATGAAGACTGATGGTACAGTGGGACAGTAACATTGACATCACCAGCATGCATGGTACATGTGTTATGAATGTTAACAGGATACTTGTTGTTCTGTGCAGGTTGAAGTTCGGGACAAGGAGATAGAACGACTGGGCTATCTGCTGGAGGGAGGCCGTCCCCAGGACGTGGTGTCAATGGAAGGCAAACTGCGGGCTAATGAGAAACTTATCTCACATCTCAATGTACAGGTAACATGACCATGATATACTATCAGACTGTAAAAACTTACCTAAGGCCACACCGATTTAATTTAGATGACATCCACGTGCACCTCCGACAAGGCTCTGGCCTGGGTGCCAGTCTCCGTAGTCCATGGTATCTAGCAACAATAGGGAGCTGGTTGTAACTACGGAGGATGGCACCCAGGCCGACTCATAAATGTAAAAAATGTGCCGGCTTGTCGTAAAAGTCACTGTGTAACTGCAAATTCACAATACCAGCTTTGTTTTGCTGTGGTTTAGCAGCAATGGGGGGGGGTGGGGCGGCTGGAATTTTTTCATTGGCCCACGCGCACAAGAAAAACAAGAACAACCATGACCTGGAGCGCAGGTTGATGAGGGGGTGAAGTCTGCCATCTCTGATGTCCTAATGTTTTCCCAGGTAGACTATCTCCAGCAGGCTAATAGGTTGATGAGGGGGTGAAGTCTGCCATCTCTGATGTCCTAATGTTTCCCCAGGTGGACTATCTCCAGCAGGCTAACCATGACCTGGAGCGCAGGTTACAGGATGTCCTGGAGGACCGGCGCTCGGCGGCGCGGGAACAGCTGGAGCTGACCAGCAGGAACGAGAAGCTGATGTCGGAGCTGCAGGATATCGACCGTCTCGCCGGAGAACTGCAGAAACACAAGGAACAAGCCATCACCACCGCAGACAACGAAGTCCGCAATATTGAGGTTTGTTTATGGTACATGGTTTCTACCTAGATACACAGATTCTACCTAGGTACACATATTCTACCTATAGATACACAGATTCTACCTATAGATACACAGATTCTACCTAGATACACAGATTCTACCTAGATACACAGATTCTACAGATTCTACCTAGGTACACATATTCTACCAATAGATACACCTCTGTAAAAATGAAAGCGTCCCCGACGGAGAAACGCCCGTCCGACGCCGTCCCTGCCCGTCCTTAGCGGGAAACGGCGTCCTGACCGTCCCAACACAGTTGGCAGCGTCCAAACTCCCGCCGGACGGCCGTCCCAGAAATTAGTGACGGCACCCCGTCGCTCCCAGCCCGTCCTGAACCGTCCGGCATGGAAACGGGCGTTTATTAATTAATTGACACCAGCAGCGGCCGACAGTGGCGTGCTTCACGATGTTTCCCACGGGGTTTTAGGCTCCTAGCGCACATGCGCCAAGTTTGAACGCGCTGAATTTAACCGTTAGACTGTGGCGGGCGGGCTGGCTGGGGGAACACCTCTGCTCAGTCGATCTCAAGTTTTTTTTCCTTTTTGTTGGATTGTGTGCAATTTTGGAGGATGGATTTCAGTCATACAAGCAGCTATATCTTTCGTCGACACTGCACACAAGTTTGGGCAACTCCAGCGACTGACTAAAATGTCAAACGAGGTGTTCCAAGAATGTAAACAGCGGCCGCCAGAATTTCGGGTGTACGGAACGCAATGAGACTGTCTCGGCGGTTTCTTTTCGAGGAGACTAGGTAAGTGGACAAGAATTTTTCGTTGTCAAATGTTACAAAGGAAGTTGTGTAAGACGGTGTTACAATTGCTACATCAGAACATTAGTTAATTCCAGGGGCTGCTGAGAAGTTCGAGGTTATATTTTGTTGACGTCCTGACCCCGAGTGCCCTCCCCACATTAAATGAGCCGCCGGGCTTGTAACGGAAATTTCATGATGTTTTAACGCTGAAAAATAAAAAGACGCAGACGAACGATTTGTAGAATAAATGTGTACAATACCTGCTGTTTTAATAAAGAACGATGATGCCGTAAAAATGTACATGTCATGAAAAATCTTACACAAAATCCAGTGGCTCTAAGTCCCGCACAAGTAACCGGCTGCTGGAAAGTCCTGACGTCACGGCTGCCATCTACAAACGCAACCGTCAATGTTGTTTTCATACGAAATTTTCAAGACGCACAAAAACTACGTAGAATATAACTATACAATATACCAATTTTAATGGAGAAAGATGACGATGTTAAAATGTCCACTTAGGCAATATTTAACTTTTTTTTAACCCTGGCCCTTTATGTTTGTGTGCGCTCACAATGGCGCGTTATTTTCGTCGCATGTTCGCCGCTGTTTACAGCCGCTGTTTACAGCCGCTGTTCAACAATTGTTACTCTATATTTCTGACGAAGAAAATAGTTTTCGTTTGATCATGTCATTCTGTATTTACTTCACTTGTATTTACTGTTACAATGTGGGCGGCCGTAACATACTTGGTTCGATGCCAATCTGCAATTGTTTTCAATTACTATATCGGCACATTCCTTGAGGGGACGCCGTCGGAAACGCCGTCCCAGCCCCGTCGGAGCGGCAAGATCAAAATGTCCACAATGACTGAGCACCCCCCAGAGACCCGTCCGGCCGTCGGATACGCCGTTTGGACCCCACCTGTGCCGTCCCAAGCGTCGCCCGGCCCCGCCCAGGAGCCCGTCCGGCAGCCCGTCCGGCAGCGCGTCCAGCAGCCCGTCGGAAACGGCGCCCAAACGCCTTAAGAACGCCCGGACGCCGTCGAAAACGGACATTTCTGACGGCGTCCCAGGCGTTTGAGGCGTCCTGGCCCGTTTTTGGCCTTTGTGAAGGCGTCCGTTGCCCCCGTTTACCGCCAGGGACGGGCAGCCGTCCCAAACAAACGGCCACCACAAACGGGCGTTTAAACGGGCGTTTCTCCGTCGGGGACGCTTTCATTTTTACAGAGGTACACAGATTCTACCTATTGATACACATATTCTACCTAGATACACATATTCTACCTAGATGCACATATTCTACCTAGATACACATATTCTACCTAGATACACATATTCTACCTAGATACACATATTCTACCTAGATACACATATTCTACCTACAATGTAGATACACATGTTCTACCTACTAGATAAACATGTTCTACCTAGATACACATGTCCTACCTAGATACACAGATTCTACCTAGATACACAGATTCTACCTAGATACACAGATTCTACCTAGACACACATGTTCTACCTAGATACACAGATTCTACCTAGATACACAGATTCTACCTAGATACACAGATTCTACCTAGATACACAGATTCTACCTAAATTATGCGGATTCTACCACATCCCAATGATGTATATCCCATGATCGGTACTGTATCTGGAATACCATTGCTTTATAATACAGACAAGTCACTGCTGCCTAGTTTTCCTGTGAGTGAATACTATTCATTTTCTGGAATAATATTTAAAGCATCATCTATGGCCAGTTTCTAACTAAAAGCATTTTGAAAGTACATGTACTATCAATTGTGCCTGAGTGTAGCATTATCTATTTACTGTAACAGATTGAACTGAGAAGGTCCCAACGTCAGCTGGAAACTGCAGAAACAGAAGTGGCCACATTACGAGAAGTAAGTTCTTTCTGTTTGTTTGTTTGTGTTTATCATCTACTGTTGTTATTGGCTACACTCTCCTTGCAGCCAAGTGTTGAATTGTGCAGAGTTTACAATTATTGGGGCTTAATCGCAAAAGTCTGGAGCGGCTGCCATTCGGCGCTAACTCAGGTGACCTGAATAAAACGCCAGCTACGGTTATATAGGACTGTAAGGTTTGAACCACTCACACCAGGAAGGCCCCCAGCTCTTTCCAATAAGTGTGGTAGGTTTAACGTACCTAGGGTGTGGCCTTCCCCAAACACGGGACCTGCACTTAACTTCCTATCCGAGGGACGTCCCTAACCAAAGCTAGGTACTCATTTCCACATGAGTGAAGTGAGGAAAGTCGTGTAAAGTGCTTTTCCCAAGGCCACAAGGTCAGTGACATCAGGCAGGATAGAACCATGGACCTCTGGATCCTGAGTTGAACACTGCCGTTACGCGACACAACCCGACCGTGCATGTATGTACTATTAGATCTTGAGAAGATGAGCGCCAATGCAACAGGGAGCCAAACAGAGCTATCTTAAATACTTCATGATAGCTGCTGAATTCTAATTGTTTCTTTATTAACCATTGCCAGACTATTTAGCAGGGAAGCTACCACACAAGCAAAGTGGCTAGAAATAGAATAGAATGAATGAATGGAAGAATGAATGAATGAAGTCTTTTTGTTCTTCATTTTAGGGTAACCAGTTGCTGGTTGTACACTCAGCTAGAATATGTAAAATTTAATGATTAATTGACTGAATGATGTGGTTGACAGGAACGTAAGTCCCTGCTGTCAGAGAATGATCGGCTGGGCTCGGACCTGTCAACCAAGATGGCGGAGTCACAGCGTCTGCACGACCTGATGGACAAGGTGCAGGAAGACAAGAGACATCTGTCTGACAGGGTCAACAAACTCACAAAAAAAGGTACACACAACCGTAAATAATTTCATCAGGTTGGTAAACGACTGAATAGCAAAGTTCTTTCTATCACAACCATTTATTTTTCAAGCCGACGTTTCGATGACCGTCTGTCATCTTCATCAGGGCAATTCTGACTGGTTTACTGTGCACTGACACTAGATGTTATATGAACTATGTAACACCTTTAGTGCACTATGCACCAAGTAACATCTAGTGTCAGTGCACAGTAAACCAGTTAGAATTTCCCTGATGAAGATGACAGAAGGTCATCGAAACGTTGACTTGAAAAATAAATGGTTGTGATAGAAAGAACTTTGCTATTCAAGGTACATGCAAGTTGGAAACATTTCATGATTTTATAGAGAGATTTTTTATTGACACAACAAAAAAGTACAGGCCTTTTGTATGGTCTTCTACAACTAAAGATCTAACAAAGCTAAATACATGTGTGGATAACGTTATCTTACGTACACTGAATATATATATGCGGTACCAATAAAGGTTTAACTATTCTGTAACATGTAGTCTCTAAGATCGAAACATTCTTTAATGTATTTTCCTATTTGAACACTGTATTGGTTATCTCCCCTGAGAATGTAGTTGCATTTATCTATAGGATCTAATGTATTGAAATCAATTGAACAAGCGGAAAGAAAGGTGAACAGCAATAGGCGCTTATCATTGTATAGTGTACAATCCATTATGAAATGGTGCTCATTTTCAACAATCTCCAATTTAACTTTTGAATTCCAGTTTAGTTCCCATATCTCAGCAACCTTAAATTTAGATGGGCTAAGGCCACAGCAAGTAATTTTTATGGATGACATCAGCGCGCACTTTAATTTTCGCCTGATGTTGGAAAAAAAAAAACAAGAAATTTTGTTGCCTTCTGACAGTTGTCAACATGCCGAAAATGGGCAAAGATGTCTGTTGCCATGCCGGAAGGTGGATGGCAGATAACTATACTTTGATACAGTGATATGTGATGCTGGCTGTGTATATATGTGATGTTCCCACTGAATCAAAACAATTTTGTACAATGATTGAGTCAAAATTTCAAAATGTAGGAACCTTGTTTTTTTCGGTCTGCCTTGTTTTTTTTTTTTCGCCGGCTCGCATTAGATTTAGAGTCTGTGGAGGATGTCGTCCATAAAATTTACTTGCTGTGGCCTAATATCGTAACCATCGTAGCAGCCATCATGAACCCCTTATAATACTGTAATTCCTAATTTGTACTGTTATGTTCACTGTTTTCACAGTCACTTCTGTACTGTGAACTTATCATTACAGTTAACAAATACAATGTAATTTATACTTTCTCTTTCCTGCACCCGTTCCCACCGTGAATGTAGTTCTGTGAACATGACCATTTTTTTCAGACCGTGAAATTTTGCTACCGTGAACATAAAGTGAATTACAGTATGTGGTAAACATGATTGTTGTCATGACATCTGTTGGTTGCTCCACAGAAAAAGACCTGGTGCTGGAGCTGGAGAGACTGAGAGACATGTCAGTCCGACACAAGAGAGACAAGTCTCCCTCCCGACTAGATAACTTCATCAAGAGTCTGGAGGAGGAGAGGGATTATTATAAACAGGAGGTCAGCTGCTTTTAATTACTTCTTAGGCCACACCAATGTAATTTGTTGTTTCTCAGATTTTTTCAGAAAAAATATGAAGCGACAGGGGAAAAAAAAATACAGGCCAAGGCACCCCATGATAGCCGGAAATGTTACAATATGAGCCATGAAGTGAACATACCAGGCTGGTTTATAATTAAAACAACAGACTTTGAACTTTTAATGAAACAAAATTGCATTGTTACATTGAAAGAAGAAGAACTAGGAAGAAAAGGACTTTCTTCAACCGCTGGGGCCAAAATACGTCTTACATTGAGCATTTCATGTACAGGGCTGGAAATACTGGGTCATGTGCACCTCAGTGCACCCAAATTTGGAGCTGTGCACCCATTTTTTTTCTGTGGGTGCACCAGTGCAACATTTTTGTAGGTATTTTTGTACATATCAACAGTTACTGTATAATAGTATACAGGATATTGTTGGCATCTAAGTGTCCGAAAATAACAAAATCTTTGTTGTTAGTACTTGTTTAAGATTTTGAAGTTAGCTCTCATTTCAGATTCAAGCTCAGAAGAGGAGCAGTAAGACCTGCAATTAGATTTTATAGGTTGGGTGCACCAGTGCACCTGTCCCCAAAAATGAATTTGGAGCCCTGCCTGTACCTTACTGCTGTAGCATGGCAGTGATTTCCTTTCTTACTTTGTTACCAACAGGTGGATGTTCTACAGAACATGTTGAAGAAAAGGTCAGGGAGCCCGGCTAAAACACCTACCTCCACCCCAACTAAAGGAAGCTCCATCAAGGGTACTCCCACCAAAGGCACACCCACTAAGGGAACAGGGGTGGACAAAAAGGTGAGTACTGATTATTAATAACTTAATGAGAATTACATCAGGGCCCATCAACCCTCTCTGAACCATGACGGTGGTAGATTCCGTCTTCCCACCACTTTTGATGCACTCCTGACGCTTCTGACTTCTGGAAAGTCAGCGAGTAACATTACTCATCTGAAGGTTGATGAGGCTGTTGTGGTGAGTTATTTCTTTGTGTTGGAACAAGCTTGAACTCTTTAACTACTGTTTTCCAGTTCACAGAAATTTACTCCACGGTATTTTTTACCTTAGATAATGCTTGGTCCTCAACAGCTTTCTGACCCAAGTGCTCATTGTAGACACAATTTTTTTCCCACATCCTGGATACTGAATGTGACTACTTGGGCCGAGTTGACCAGGGTGTTGGGCCGAGTTGACCAGTGAGATGTGTCGATTTGGCTGGGCCGAGTTGTCAGACACGTATTTATCAAAAGGGTATTTCAATAGCCAGATGACATCAACAGTTATACAAACCATACATACCATATACAAACTGGAAATCTACAATTTCTTGTTGTTGCTTTAATTTTTTTTCATATGAATTATAAGCAATCTTATATAAAGGTCCTACATGTACTTTCACAGAATTTTACTTTGTTTTAACGTGCAGTACGTTGTATGTTACCATAATTATACAAGGCCCAAATGGAGGGAGTTAGGCAGTCTGTTTTGTTCCACACCAAATCTAGACAGCTGCTCATTATGAGACCATCCTGCGAGTGCTGGAAGATGAGCGTGACTTCTACAAACGTGAGTACGAGATGCTGCGGGCCTTACGGCGCTCACCCACCCGGGGATCTCCACCAACCAGAGACAGGGTAAGTATTTTAACTTAGGCCACAGCAAGTAATTTTTATAGATGACATCAGGGCGCGCATGAATTTTACGCCTGATTTTGGGGAAAAAAACAAGAAATTTTTTTGACATTGGTCACCATGCCGAAAATAGGCAAAGATGTCTGTTGCCATGCCGGAAGGTGGATGGCAGAGAGGAGACAAGAAGAGAGGCTCTCTGATGTAATGTTTTGTTTCTTACTTTGATGCAGTGATATGTGATGTTGGTTGTGTATATGTGATTTTCCCACTGAATCAAAACCTTTTTTTACAATGAATGAGTCAAAATTTTAAAATGTAAGAAGCTTGTTCTTTTCGGCCCGCCTTGTTTTTTGTTTGCCCGCTCGCATTAGATTTGGAATCTGCAGAGGATGTCATCCATAAAATTTACTTGCTGTGGCCTTAGTTTTCACACACTGAAATGACTTGACTAATATTTCACATGAAAACTTAAAGGTTAGTTGCATGTAACATCCCTAACAAAATATTCAGACACTCAGTGCCACAAATACTTTGTAAAAAGGTATGGAAATTATGGTTGCAATCAACATAGGGTAATCATAGCATAGAAATATATCAAGATATCACAGACTATATCCAGATGTACATACCAAAGATTGTGACAAGTCATTTGATTGCCCGACACTTGAGCTGTTAAAATTAATGTGACAACAATAACTCTGAAATGCAAAAGTTCCTGAAAATAGTCAAACATGATCAATCAACAAAGACGTTTGGACCAAAACTACACTCTTATGTCTTTTCTGATGTTAGGGAACATCGAATCTTGCAAATCATCCTTCCAGTTCTTGATTTCTGCCACCTAGTTAATACAATAGAAAAATTAAATTCTGTCAATAACGTCACGGTGAGCATGACATTGCAAGTTATGAATTTATGTGGGGTCGTGTGGCGCAATGGCAGCGTGCGTGACTCGGAATCAAGAGGTCCTGGGTTCGACTCCTGACATGCCACCGATCTTGTGCCCTTGGGAAAGGCACTTTACACAACTTTCCCCTCTAGACTCAAGTGAAAGTGAGTATTGTCTTACCAGTATCCGTTTTTATGTGCGGGACACAACACCAGCAACAGCTGCCTCTGTTCCGCGTGTATTGCTTTGTTGCAGTTTCAATAAATCCAATCGAATCAATATTTGCTTTTGTTTGCTTCTAAACTGAATGTGGTTTTCAAGCCATGGTGCCAGTTTCTGAATCTGCTGTCAAGCTCATTGACAGAATTTAATTGCAGTAACTGGCTGCAAAAATCAAGAACTAAGAAGGATGATTGCAAGATTATCTGCCCCCTAACATAGAAGAGTGTAGCTTTGGTCCAAAC